GAAAAAAGGAGGAAGATAAAAAGAATAATTTAAAAACTAACAATCAAAAACAAAACTGGGGGCAGGGCATGGTACCCAGGCAATTTCAGGGCACAGACTGGGATGGAATACCTGCTGGTCCTGAAGGTGGGTCCAACAGGGGATGGCCACACCTCTGTTCACTGAGAGTGTGTGGAGTATAAGAGTAATAGGGGGGATAGCTCACCTTTCCAGTCATCATCCTCCCGTGCAGCCACCTGTGCTGTCCTCAGCATGTGAATCCTACACCTATGTCACCCATCCAGGTAAGAATGCTACTTTCATATATTGAAAATAGTCATGCCCACTGATGTTCAAAATGGCTGTGCGCTCAGGACAGCCACTGGCAGTTCACAGGTCTGTTTGTCTAATACTTCACTGTTTTCCTTTCTGGTTGTCAGGCACTGATGCAGTCCCTACCTATGCAACCTTCAGTGAGCAGAGCTGATTCTTAGGTTGTTACCGGGAAATATTAAAAAATGGCTGTGCCCTCAGGACAGCCAGCAGTCCACAGCTCTGTTTGTCACCTTACTGTTTTCATTCAGGTCATTCTACTACTTGGTAGATAATGAGAAAAATAATAATAATAATAATAACAATAACCCACAATATCATGGAAAGTAAGAATGAGAGAAAATAGCAAGTGTAAAAGAATAGTAAAGAAAAATCCTTGTCTTCAAAGTTCAGGCTTCCAAGATTGTTTTCTGCATTAGTTTCAATTGGGTTTTCATTGCTTTGTTGCAGAGAGTCTGTGTAGCTTGTCTGCCTATATCATCATCTTGCCAGACGTGATTTGGGGTATCTTTACGGTTAAAGTTGAGCTGTATAAGTAGGAAACTTGAAATAAAAATTTTTGAGATGACATATTTTTTATTCTAGTATTTTTTTCCCATTTATATTCTGCTTTCTTCCTATTTTCTTTTTTTTTGTCTCCATTCCTAACTGTGCATGTTCAGTAATATGCATATCCCCTTTTCAAAGTTGTCTTAAAAGGCCAAGGACATAACTTATTTTATGTTAAAAAAACAAAACAACAACCCATCACATTCTGTAAATGATAATAACCAAAAATGAATGAATGAAAGAATTGAGTGTTTTAGTATCTTAGAGATGAAATGAGAAAGGACTTGAATTTCAATTTACTTAATTTATGGATAAAAGAACTGAAACCCAAAAGATAAATTACTTAGGATTGCATGGCTTATTAGTGCATGAAATGAGACGATCTGGATTCTGAGACCGATGCACTTTCTAGGTGAAATTTCAACATCATCAAAAGAAGATAAAGAGGAAAGAATAAAGTTTGAATCAAAGTTGCACAATGTTTATGGGATATAGCCCATTTAAAACTGATACCCAAACACTAACTTTCTTCCAACCTTTGGAACATCTAAGCTCTACTGTATTCCTTTCTACCCACTTGATTATTTGCAAAGCCAAAATTGCATTAGAAATACCATATAACCCTGTGATGCTGTAAGTAAACTGTAAGCTAGGGCATTCAAAAATTTAATCAATATGCTCCTGTCACAATGGGATATAAAATTTCCTGGTCAGATATACTTGTTGGTGAAGATATTGGGAGCATCAATAAAACATGAGACCAATTTGAGGGATGTGGTAAATAACTTATGGTGTCAAGATCTAGATGATTTCATCATTGAGAGGACCAAGCCACCAAAGAGAGATGTGGATAAATAATTCCTAGACTCCTGGTTCCAGCAAGATGGCAGACTAGGCAGAAAGACTGCACAGACCCTCTTCAACAAAGAAAAGGGAAACCAATTAACACAGACACAGAAGATAA